CATTATCATTTAGGGCGTATAGCGCGATAGTGACGAACAGGTACATCAGCGAACAGGTACATTCCTAGAACTATAAAATTCTTACAATGTATTTCTATTATTAACCTTGAATCTTAAATATTGACTTCACAGAAATATATATATCAGGTTCATTCTTACGAGACTTCCGCTGTCTTACTAGTCTACCATGCCACTAAAGATCCTAGGCCAACACTTGAGGTTTTCCAAGTGTTCGTGTTTGCAGATTCTATACTTAGTCTCCTGCAAAACCTGTCAAATAATTACATGGTATGAGAGCTTTCTGGAGTTAAGACTACTGTCAACAATGACTGGAACATCACGAGCACAATCTACCGGATCCACATCTGGAACTACTGGAGTACCTGTCTCCACGACTGCCACTGGTCTTTCAGCCTCTGGACCGTTTCCACCGGCTTATGCGCACATCGGCATCCAGCAGCAGCAAAATCCGCCTACTGTCAGTACTCCAGGGATTTCATCGACTGCACCTGCAGTGCAACAACAAGAACAACAGGCAACAGCACCACAGGTTTCAACTCAGTCAATATCATCAGGTTTTAGTGGAATGAGCCTTGATGGCTCAAGTTACATGCGTGGAGCCTCAACTCCAAGTACCGGTTCGTTTGCCTTTGCGCCTTTTACGCAGCAGCCACAGTCGCAGCAGCACATCCCTTTTACATCTTCGGGCGTTCACCTGCTCAGCAACAACCATGGCAACAACAACAACAGCAACAGCAGCAACATCCACAGCAATTTCAGCAGCAACAGCAACAACTTCAACAGCAGGGTATTACTTTTCAGCTGCCGAATTTACTTCATAGCACACAGATCAAGACCACTATACCTTTTAACAGAGTTGATTTTTACTCCTGGAGCTTCGAGTTTGAAATTCTGGCGCAGTCTGCCGGGCTATGGTTGTTCTTCACCGACGGATTCACGTATCCTGCTATGGGAACACAACTGGAGCAGCAATGTTTCTTGCACGCCTCTCTCGGGGCGTATACGGTTCTTGTTCGGAACTTATCGCCAAAGGAGCAGCTCGGCGTTCGATCTTTCCATTTAAGCTTTACACCAACTGAAACTGCATGGAACCACTTAAAAGGGGTGTACATGGCAAAGGATACAATCACAGTGAGTAAGATTCTTTCACAGCTGACAAATGTGCGGATGATGACAAACGAGAATGTCATGGAGTACGTCAATCGTGTCCGCACACTACGAGATCAATTGGAGAGGAGTGGTGGATACTTCCCTCGTGAGATGTATCTCACGGTCCTTCTTGCTGGCCTTGGTCCCGAGTGGCGACAGACGCGTGCATTCTTGCGCATGAATCTGAATCTCTCAGAAGCCGAGATTTCTTCATATCTTCAAACAGAACAGCAAGATCTTGACCTGCAATCACAACGCAATCAGAAGAAGGGGATACATTTAAGTTTTTACTCAAATCCAAAACCGCAACAACGACTTCCCCCGAAATATCCCTTCTGTCATGTATGGAAGAAACCAGGACATACTTACCAAACTTGTCGCAGTCGACATCAAAACCGACGCAGTACTTCACAACCATATCATCGTTCGCAGCAGTTATTGAAGTCACATCAGCCAACGCAGCAGTCGACGTCCCAGACGCAGCAGATGCAGAAACCACCGCAGAATCCATCTCCGTCACAGCATCGTCCTCCGATTTTTCCATCTGCAAAATCACGACAAGGGGTCTTTGGATGTGTTACAACAGTTGACGTTTCAGAAACCGATTTCGAGACACACCTTGAAGAAACCACCAGTGCATAAGGCATACCCTTACCTCAAGTTTACGCTAATCTTGCTCGCGTCATTTCAGGACCCAATACTTGGTATCTTGACAGATATAGCAGTTGGCAGATGTGCTCCGCTGAAACTAGCTTCATCACCAACCAGCGTCCACTTCGTCGTCCGATACCTGTCACAGTCGCAAACTGACAAATTATTATGGCAAGATCTATTGGGAGTGTAATGCTCAAGTCCGTCGACACGGCCTTGGTTTTAATCTTCTCTCCATAGCTCAGCTCCTGGCACACAAGATTCGCACAAAAGGCAATTGTGATACAATGGATCAGGAGTTATGGCACAGTTTGACAAACACTTGGCCGCGCCGCTACACAGCATGGTGTCTCCGTTCTTCATTTTACGGCACAGGGCACATCTGGTGATTCTGAACGCGTCCTTGCTCTTGGTCCCTGGGATCATCCCGATGAAACAGATTATCAACAAGTTGACATTGACTTTCGTGCAACTACTGTACCAACGGCTTCTCGAACTGCAGCTGCCCTTCTCACCGCTCTTGATACTTGGGAGTTCAACACTGCCGATGAAGGCGCCAACGCTTGGCGAACTTTTTATAACACCCGTGAAGCTTTTCAAGGAACTCCAGCTCCACTTTGGGGCGAAATTAGTGGACTTGCAGCTGATGAACCCGACGTCGTCGAGGAAGTCGCAAAAGAAGAAGTCGTCGAGTAGCCGAGTCACACAATACCTGTCGCAGAACCATCTGCTCACACATCAACAGAAGTAGTATCAGATGTTGCAATTATAACTGCAGCAGAACCGTCAAATGTTCAGTTACCACTTACCCGTTTCGTTGAAGGGGAGATCGACATGTCTCCAGCTCTTTCTCCTTTCATCATTTCTTCATTTTATACTAACGCCGATTTCTATCTGCGATCATCAGGTTACAAAGCCACAGAGGACATTTGGCATCAACGGTTAGGACATTCATCGCACGGGATTTTATATCATTCAATACGGGCAGCAGTTCTTGATAAAAACAGTCTCTTAATACCTGACGACACAGAGATGAAACCACACTCTCGCCCAACGGTTTGCACCACGTGTCCAATCGCCAATCTTACCCATGACCGGTTTCTGAGTCATTTTCCTGGCTCAAATTGTTATCGACTGATGCCGAAAGTCTACAGCGATATTTTAAACTTACCTGAAGCAGGACCTAAAGAGGAGCAGTACGTGATTACTTTCATTGAAGCATCTACTCGCTACGTTTGGACAGCCAACCTTCTTGTTCGATATCTCGCCCATCCGGCCTTCGTCGCTGAGAGAGAGTCTGGAGCGAAACTGCAAGAATTCCAAACTGATGACGCAGGGGAGTACACGAGCAACGCTTTCACAGACTACCTCCAAACCCTCGGCATCAAACGGAAGCTGTCTTTGCCACATGCACACCAAAAGATGGGGGTAGCAGAACGGATGAATTGGACTCTGCAGGAGAAGATGCGTGCTCTACTAACGCAGGCAACTCTTCCTCCTCGTTTTTTGCCATATGCGATGGACCACGCCGTGCTGTTACACAACGTGCTGTATCCATATCACTGCCCCAGTTTTCTTTACCTCATCTACAGTGGACACGTATAGTGGGAAGCACAAAACTCTTACGAGTTTTTGGGTGTGTCGTGCAGTTTCGACCTTCAACTGCAGCACTCAGCAAATTTTCAGAACGGGCAAAATGGGGGGTACACCTCGGCATCGAAAAACAGTATCATGCCTGGAAGATTTTGAAAATTTGTTCAAACCAAATCGTCCCTTCACGTGATTGTCTCTTCTATGAGCGACTCACTTTGCCCGTTTTTCGTGCCCACCAGGCAGCAGCTGCCAACCCCGCCAGGCTGTTTGAAGGCTCGCGTGCGTTTGCAACTGACGAAGCCGAAGCTGATGTACAGGACGAAGTAGTTTCCGAAGCCTCCGAAGCTGCCGCAACAGACATTCTCAAACCTGTCACGTCGTCTGGCATCCCGGAATTTATTCCCCTCGCTGATGCTGACCCGGATGACGATTCGCAAAGTCCATCTCAGTTACGAACGCGATCGTCAACAGCAGCCAATGCCATCCATCTGCGACGAAGCTGTCCGTGTTACACCTGACGAAATTGCAGGGGAAGAAGGGTCAGAAGAAAATTTCGCAGGTGCAAACGAAGAACGTCCGCATTTTACAGAAGCTGGTTTACAGATCCTTGGAGTCGCAGTACAGTACAACAGCAGTAAAATACCTGAACCGAAAACAGTTCGACAAGCTCTTACGAGTCCTCATCGAGAAAAATGGTGCGAAGCCATGGAGAGAGCGCTAGCAGCTCTTAAGAGTCGCGGCACATGGGAACTAATACCGACTTCAGAGGTAAAAGGGAGAAAGTTTCTTACTGGAAAAAGGGTCTTCCGTGTCAAGACTAATGCAGATGGATCATTTGAGAAATTCAAGGCGCAATGGGTCGTCCGTGGGTTTGAGCAGACTTTCGGCCTTGACTACGAACTTACCTTTGCTCCCGTCGGTCGACATACGAGTGTTTGCATTCTACTCTGTGTCGCTGCCTGCTGCAATCTACGACTTCGACAAATCGACGTGGCAAACGCTTTCCTCTACGCACCCGTCGATGTGCTCATTCTGGTAGAGTACCCGCACTCGTATACTACTAACCCACCGAGCATGTGCCGTCTCAGAAAGTCACTTTACGGCATTAAACAGGTACCTCGGCTCTACGTTAGTACGACATAATCACTCGCCAATACCTTCATACTGAAACTGCAGAAAAATCTACAGCTTACTATCTCTGAGTCAGTCTCACAGTTCCTCGGTTTAAATATTACCTGCTCACCGACATCTATTCACCTCACCGCTTCGAAGTACACAGCCACGCTTGCTGCCCGATTCAACCTTACTCCTACTATAGTCTTTACACCGTACCGTTCCCTACCGACAGATTACAAACCGAATACTACACCGTTGAGTCTAACTAGTTTATAGACTTATCAACAGCAGTTAGTCTGTCTAGTCTTTGCCGCTGTTACTTGTCGTCCAGATTTAGCCTATGTGGCTAGTCAACTCTCTCTCTCTCTCTCTCTCTCTCTCTCTCTCTCTCTCTCTCTCTCTCTCTCTCTCTCTCTCTCTCTCTCTCTCTCTCTCTCTCTCTCTCTCTCCCTCTCTCTCTATCTCTCTCTTTCTCTCTCTCAAACGGTCCGTCGTTGATGGGCACAAACTAGGCATTCCGGGTTGGTACAAACAGGTGCCTCGGCTCAGGTAAGTCTCCTAACCGGTCACCTTCTACTGCCGCTCGCCCTGGGGCTCTATCACCGCAAAACAAACCCCAAGGGACATGCTGGCCTCCGGGGCGCCCAAGGGGGGCCACTCTAGAGGAGAGGCCTCGTTCACCTTCCCCAAATACGTGAGTGCCTGTCCCCGTTGGAGGGTGATGGACCAGCGCTAACGGAACGGACTAAGTAGTTTTGCGGCTTGGTAGGAGCTGGGGTCGGCGTTGAAGAGGCAGCGGGCAGCCGTGTGTGCCAGGAGCTTGAGGAAAGTGGGCACCTCGGTGCAGGGGCAGCCGTATGTCTCTACCGCCAGCGGGAAAAAGCCGACGTACTCCGCCCGGCTGCGGTAGTCGTCTATCTTTTTGTCGGCTTGCTCTCTTGCCATGTAGCCACGGCCCTTACGGGCTAGCGGGTCTCGTGAGCTGACTGGGTCTGTGACGGTGATGTCGCAGATCCACACCACCCCTCAGTCACAATCCCGGATGGCTAGATCGGCGGTTTTGCCGTCGACCGGGTTGTAGATCGCCGTCTCTTTGGTGACGATGAGTTGGGTCATGCGGATGCACTCGTCCCTGAGTGCGTTTTGGGTGTCAGTGCGGCGGTGTCCGGTCCCGCAACGGAACAGGTGGTTCGGGAGTCTTGGGTCCAGGATCTGTACCCGCTTGGTGCAATTGCACACCTTAGGTGCGGGGAAGGGGAGGCCCATGCGGATGCCAAGGCTATGGCGAAGTGCGGGGCCGCGAGGCGGATGGAGGGGAAGAGTGGGATGGATAGGAGCCAGTCGCATGCGCCGTAGCCGGTGAGGGAGAGGAGCCGTTGTGTATGGCTGCTCTTGGGGTTGAGCTCCATCTCCCTGGTGGCAGCCAGCTGGGCAGCGAACCGTGCTGCATGGACTTCCTGGGCGAGTCGGTGCTGGAGTGGCTCAGGGTTCCAGGCTGGAGTGGTCAGGAAGGCGTGTGGTCCGTCCACTGCTGGGTCCGCCAGGCCCAGGCCCCCCAGGGAGGGTGGGAGAGAGGCCTGGCCCCAGGTGCGCGCAAGCTTCCGCTCTCCCCGCGGTATCTGGAGTTTGCAGGAACGGAGGAGGGTAAGGAAGAGCTCCTGGGAGCAGGTTTAGTGGACCATTCCTCCGCTGGGAGCAGGTTTAGTGGGGTTGTGCGGGTGAGGTAAGATACCCGCCGCGAGACGCAGCGGTGGAGGAGGCAGGCGGACTGGGGGTCCATGGTGGGGAGCGTCTTGGCCATGTTGGCTAGCTGCTCGCGTAGGAACTGGGCCGCAGCCTCGTCTGGGCCGATGTGGCTGCCCAGGACCCGCAGCCCAGAGTCGCAGAAGGGGATGTCGGGGGGTAAGACGGAGGTAGGGGGCTGGGATTGGGACCAGGCCGCGCACTTGGAGGGGTTGTGCGTGAGGCCCAGGGGGCTCAGAGCGTTGGTGAGATGCGTGAACGCCGCTGTGCACGCTGCCGGCTCGCCCAGCAGTGTGATGTCGTCAGCGTACGCTGGGGTACGCCGCGGCGGTTGCTTGCAGGGCAGGGTGCATGGCAGCGGCGAAGAGCAGCGGACCCATAGGGTCCCCTTGCCAGACCCCCCGGGCGCTGAGCAGGGGCTGGCTATTGAATCCGGCATTGAGGTACAGCAGGGAGGGGGCACCATACGAAAGTTGGACGAAGGGTAGGAGAGGGCGGAGGGGGGAGTTATAAAGGCCTGTGATGATGGCGCTGCGATCAACGCTGTTAAAGGCGTTGGTGAGGTCGATCTGCAGCAGGAGCGAGTTTGGTCATTCGGTGGCAAACGCGTGAATTATTGCCTTTCCACCAACCTTTACCGCTACGCCAAACTGCAGTGGCAGAAAGTGGCCGCGCGCCCGGTCCGCCATCGAGATAAGGCCCGCTTTGGCGACGAGGCGGTGGAGGCATTCACCCACAGCAATAGGGCGCATGCCTCCTTCAGGCTTTGGGAAAGCGAGTAGGCAGCTGGCTGTGAGGAGTGCTGCTACATCAGGTGTAGAGTCGCCCTACATCAGTTGAGTAATGAGGTCGTGGAGTTTGCTGGCGACGGCGCCGTTGGCGAGGGCTGCATCGCGAATGTGCTCGAAGCACATTCCCGAGGGGCCCGCGCCGACCCTGTTTTCGCTGCGACTCAGTAACCTGGAGAGCTCCGCGAGCGTGAGGGAGGGGGGGGGCTCCGATTCGTCAATGTGTGGCCACGCGAAAGACTCAGTCAGCAGGGCTGGGTGCTTGGTTTTCAACGCCTCGAGGACCTGAGGGATTGACTCGCTGACTGGTGTTGAATCCAACGCCAGCAGGGCACGCCTCAGGCTACCACGGCGGACCAGCCCCTCGGCTCGAGATATTTTGCCGTGGGCGTCCCCTATGTGACGTGGCGCCGGTGGGTCGTGAATGGCATCCACCGCTGCCAGGTAAAGCTTGTGCCAATCGCCTGCCAGGAACTGCTGCGACCTTTTCTCCGCGGTGGGCCAATCAGGGTGCTTTGGCGAGTTGAGGCGGATTGCCAATCGAGGTGCGAATAGTAACAGGCGCCAGCCTGGCAGGCTGGTAGGCTGGGCTGCGAGATGGAGTAGGGGTGTCAGCAGGACGAGGGTGAAAAGCTGGCGAAGTTTGGGGGGGATCCTGCGGGAAATGGGGGCTGGCGACTATCGCACAGGAGCCCGATATCCCAGCTGGGCACCCCTTCGAAAAGCTGTTTGTTGGTGGCCAGCTCTGCTGGCGAAAATTGTCGCTGGGTTTGGCTAGGCTGCTCCTCGCTGTCCTGCTGGTTCTGTATGTTCAGCCTGTTTTCAGCCCTGGCAGCTGGGGCATTCCGTGCGCGTCGCGACGCTTGCCTCCGAGGTGCTTCGTCTCGATCCTCCCCTTCGGATCCCTCTGTGCTTGATTCGTCACGTGTTTCCTCTCTATAAGTTGCGTCTCTCCTCTCCTCCTCGTCAGTTGTATGTTCCCTCCCTCTGGCCCTTAAAGCCCATCCTGCAGCCCTCTGAAAGTTGTTCACTGCCCCCCCCCCTGCCATGAGCTCTCCCGCCCTGCCGCGCCCTCTCCCCTGGCCTCCTCCCCGGCCCCGGCCTCCTTGCGGCGTTTGGCACATCGGCGCGAGACGCGTCCCCGTAGTCGCTGGAGTGCGGCGGTGTGTGCTCGGTGGAGGGCGAGGGGGGTTTCGACTGATAAACACGAGGACGTGTGCAGTTGACTTTCGAGTGTCCGGAGGTCTGACAGTTGTGGCAGAACGGCGGCACGAAGGTGAGTCCTCTGTTGTCGCGTTGATCTTGCTTGCCGCGTCGATTGTAGTTATTGTCGTTCCTTCGTTGAGTGTAGAAAACTAACTGCTGCTGCTTTCTTGGTTGTCTTTCTTCGAACAGGTCCATCTCTTGTTGTTCAGCGTGAAGCTCGGCGCAGAGGTGCATCTCCGAGATTCTTCCGTGGGCGCGAAGAAGCGAGCGTGTGGTTCTCCATTTTGGCCCGAGCCCCGCGAGGACAAGCGTCACGAAGCTCTCTTCAGTGATTGTTCCTCCGCACCGAAGCAGGCGGTCGCGGAGGGTCTGGCAGCGACTCATATACTGCATCGCCTTTTCCCCGGTCTTCATCTGTATTGTTGTCAGTTGTTGCATGAGTCTGCTTTGTGTCACGCTGTCGTTTGCTTGATAGAGACACTTGAGATGATGCCATGCGAGTTCCGCGGAGTTTCCGTAGCTCCGATATGTTCTGATGCTCTGCTGTTCTTGTGGTGACAGGTTCCGCAGGAGAACAGTGTACGCCAGCAGCGACTGATAAGTAAATATCTCTTGCTCTTTTGCAGTGCCGTTGCTTGGGAATGGCAGGGACCCATTGAAGTATCCCAGGAGATGCGCAGCCTCCATCAGCAGCTCGAACTCGAAGCTCCAGGTAAAAAAGTCATGTCCGTTGAACGGTGAGGATGTCTGTAGCTTGATGACGTGTGAAAATTGCGCCTGGAGACTTAGAATCTCATTTGGTGTCTGTTGTGATGCAGCTGCTGTTGGTTGGGCACGGGGCGGCATGAATTCGAATGTCCCCGGTGACGAGTGGTAAGGCGCAAAGGTAGGCGCTTGATTGTGTCGCCCGAACGATGAGTTGTCGAGGCTCATCGGCGCTAATCCCATATTTCCTCCGTTGCTCTGTGTTGAATGAGCAGGTGTCCTTATCTGCTGCTGCTGGTCGAAGTGCGACATGAAGCTGAAGAACCTTTCCATAAGGTTTGGGTCGACGCTTGAAGACGGTGATGGGGTCACCATTTCCGGTGTTCTTCCTGTTGTCTCTTGAGCAGCGCCGGTCTCGGTCTGCAGTCCTGAAGTGTGCAGTCCAGAGTTGCCGTGTTGAGTATCTTGGGCACTGGGTGAGCCTGTAGAGGTCTTCTTGCCCTTGTTATCCATGACTTGTAATCAATGAAGTCGTTGAATTGCAGATTGTAGATAGAGAGTAGTTGCTGGGAGTTTGGTCTCTGACCAGCTCTCATACCATGTTGGGCTGAGAAAAGCCCTCAGGATCTTTCCAGAGACTAAGTCCCAGTTGTAAAAGACTTGAGTAATGCAGCGGAAGTTTGAGTAGTTGAACCCTTGTACTAGTATATGAGAACAAGTGATTGATTAAAGAAACAAGCATACAGCAATATATAGAAAATAGGAAAGTAAAGCACTTGTAGAATACAGTTGCAGGAGCGGTTATCGAGTCGCAGAGCGACTCGATTGTCGCTTCGGTTACCGTCCGTGCAGTTGTAACGGTCAGTCGCAACCTCCAGTTGCGACCCTTCGAGTCCCTTCGCGTTCTTTGTCCGCCCCCTCGTGTAACCTCCGTTGACTCGCGTACCCGTTACGATCTTCCTCAAGTGTAGTGTTACACTTCAGAAACGCTTAAGTCCTTTGAGATATTTCCAACACTCCCCTTCGTTTCTGGAGTGCTGACGTGTTCAGATCCGGTGACGTTTGTCTGTCCGGTCAGCAGCATGCAGTAATCGAACTTCGCCTTCGCCAATTTCTTCGTCAGATAGTCTGCGGCCATTTCTGTCGTAGGGCAGTAACTGAGTTGAAGTCTCCCCTTCGCGATTTCATCCTTGACGAAGAAGTACCGCAGGGCGATGTGCTTGGTTCGGTTGGCGAAGCCATCCTTGTTCGCGATTTTGATCGCAGATTGGTTGTCGCAGAGGAGTGAGAAGGCGGGCAGGGTCGCAATCTTCGCTTCCTCGAGTAACTCTCGTAGGTAGAGTCCTTCCTTGGTCGCAGTGCAAAGGGCGATATACTCTGCTTCAGCCGAAGATAGTGCGATTAGTTCCTGCTTGCTCGACTGCCAGGAGATAGTCCCGATAGGTTCTAGTCGGTAGATGTAGCCCGTCCTGGATCGTCGATTTTCCTTATCTCCCGCGTGGTCGGCGTCGACGTATCCGAGTAGTCGTACGGACGGTGTGGTTACCTTGCTGTAGGTAAGTCCGGTCGTTGGCGTGGAGACGAAGTAGAGTAGTGCCCGGTTGAGCTCCTCGAGATCTTCTTGTTCCGGCTGCTTCAGATGCGTCGCCAGTTGGCTCGCGCTGTAGGAGAGATCGGGTCGGCAGGTTACTGCTGCGAATAGTAGGCAGCCGAGTTTCTGTTGATACTCCTGGATTTGCTTCGCGGGGAGTTTTGCGGAGGTGCTGTTGTTGTTCCCGTATCGGTAGGGAGTTGGGATCGTAGTCGGTGTTAGACCGAATTTCTTCGCGACGGTGCCTGCGTACTTTCCAGCGTGTAGGTAGAACGCTGAGTTGTCTTCGACGACATTCAGTCCCAGGTACTGGGTCACTGCGTCGGATACCGTGATCGTCAAATCTTCTTTCAGCTCCCCTTCGAACCAGGTGGCGATGTCGGTAGTGGAGCCGATGTAGAGCAGGTCGTCGACGTAAACGA